AAGCACCATATCTTACTTACCTGGAAACAGGTTTCTTTTGTTACAGTAGATAGTGGAGCTGCAGTCTATGATTGGCTCTGAGGCAGAGGTAGCTAAAGGTATTAGTCAATTATGTTTGTGCAGTGACTTTAAGAAGGTTGATGCCCTTTCTTTTCCAAGCGTAAAGCGTGTTGTAGTATTGTATGTTTATATTTATGATATTATAGTATTACAGGCAACCGAAATGTTGCCTTTCTACATGTCGCTGGCAATGATGCCATCTGATGGCTGGTACTATTGTTTTGTTCTGCTGATGAAAGTCTGAACAGACAATAATGGGCTGCAGCTAAAAGGCTTGTTGTAAAGGAGCTCTGGGGTTGCGTATTCACAGCTGGAAAAACAACTCTTGCGACGTTACTATTTTAGTGTCTCAATCACTGTCACTCTCTGGTGAGCAGATGTCCAGGCCAGTCCTCAGATGTTTAACTCCAGGATGTAAAGATAAGTCAAAGTAGATGAAGTCAGTTGAGGAAAATGGATACAACAAAAACATTTCAAAAGTACAAATGCATTCATAGTATGTGATGCTTAAGCAGTAACAAAAATATAAAAAACTGGATGTTTTCATTTGTCTCAATCTCCTTAGGACAAATAAACGTTCAAGGTGAAGGGATGCGAGACTGACTAGTAGCTCTCATGTGTGACTAACCTATGGTGTGAAATCTCATTTCATGTCTGTGTTGAGACAGAAACTGTTGTTGGTATAGACGAGCTCGGATAGTGCAGTGAGAACCGCAGCCTCGCTGACGGAAAGTCTCAGGTTTGAATTCTGGGAAGCTTTTGACCTCAACCACAAACCTATCTTTATGCTCTTCCTCTAGCATGACGCTGGTGTGTAATGGTGCAGAAAGATCTGATGGCAAAATTCAGTTCTTTAATTTAGTGTTTCTCATCAAAAGAAAGACTTGTAACTTTTCCTGGTCCATGTCATTTTCTAACTGTATGGCTCTTTTCAGTGTTTTCATAATCAGTCCTACAGCAGTATGTTGAAGAATCATGTTTACTCTTTGTGGTTACATTTAGTGTTTGCATGTATAATCAGATATATAATATCCATGTAGAGCTGCAATGATTAGTCAATAGACAGAAAATGTATTAATCAATTGCTAAACATTCTTCATTGTAAGGATTTGACGCTGTCTTTATCATATATGATAGTAAGTTAACAATCTTTGGTGTTAGGACTGTTGGTCGGAAAAAACAAACTATGACAATATATGATATTGGGTAGTGGGAAATAATAAATCATTTTTGACTATTTTCTGACATTTCATAAACTAAATGATGAATTGATTAATCAAGAAAGTAACTGAAATGAAAATAATTGTTTGTTGCAACTCTAAATATTGTGTAGTTCTAGATATTTATCCATCTACTTTTTTTTAAACTTAAATTGTTCATTGTATTTTCAATGAAATCACATTACAATTCCTGAGAGCCTAAGGTGACATTTTTTAATATTCTGTCCAACAAATTGTCCGCAACCAAAAGATATTCAATTTACAGTGATAGTCAACAGAGAAAGGCAACATATCTTTACATTTAAGAAGCTGGAACCACAAAATATTTGGTATTTTTGCTTTATTAATAAACTGCGCTCTAGCCTGTTGCACGCCCCATCCAGTCTACTGCCCGATCTGTGACATCTTCATCAAAGACCGCTCAGATGTGGCATTCAATTCTAATATTGAAAAAGTTTTGTTGGAGATAGAAACTTTGGGAATTTAACCCTGCTTCTTTTGAAATGCGTCTTTTTTCCAAAGATTTTGTCTTTTGAGACTTTAGCTTGAAAGCAAGCTGAGCCCTCCTCCCCGTGGGCCGAGAACAGAGCACTGGAAGACGCAGCGATCCCTCTGAATATGACCTCTCCTCTTCTCTCGTACTCTCCTGAGCTTCATTTTCTTACAAGCCTCGGGTCTGCAGAGTCCAGTCTGAAAGTTGTGTTATCAAAGGCTGGGGCTGCAAACAGACCCACAAAGGAGGTGGAGAAAGACGGACACAGTGGTGTGTGAAACCTGAACCCTTCTTTATCAGAATTATGCATGAGCCCAAAGAATACGGCCCTTTATAGCCTACAGTCATGGCGGCAGTGAAGGTGACACTCAGAGCTTGTACAAGTACCACAGTTTGGGAGCATTTTTAGAGAAATGGGTTTCGAAAGGACACTCAGAAATGTTGTTGATCTCTCTTCTTTCTTATCTTTTGTCATTTGTCTGCAGCCTCCCTGCTCTAATCACTGCCGTCTATAAAAGTCATCGGTCCATTTGTGGCCTTGTTATTTTCCAGAAACCATCCGTCTGTGAATAACTGCTTGTTACTTCAGTTTTGGCCAAGATGGAAGGATTAAGGGCAAGGATCATCAAGGAACTGTTATCCCCATCTGTCATCTCCTGGAAAAAAAACCCCAAAAAAAACTGAATTTGTATCCTCTGAGAGCTGTATTTATCATTTTATTGTTGAAGGCATTGAATAAGTAATAACATGGAGATGGAGGAGAACTTCTTCACTTTAATCCTCTAGTACAGTAGGAGGGTTATATCTGCAGAATCACTTGGCGTAAAGGGCTTTTTTAAAGCACTTTCCGTCCTCAGTGCTGTACTTTTACATGTGAACCCGAGCCTTCAGTATGTGTCATTGCATCAGCCAGGAAATGCGTTCACAGATTAAAACAGAAGATTAATACAGTTTGATGTCAAAGATAATGGCCACACACCTGCAGCTGACATTTTAGTTTATCAAAGTGACAGGAAATTGCATATATAGATGTTTATTCAGAATTTAGTTTTTCTTCTGATAAGATCAAATCTCAGCTCTTTGCCTCATCGGATAATGGAAAATTTAGCTGTAGAAGTGAGACGCGAGAGATGTTTGATGTGTGTTTAATTACACTTCTCTGCACTTACCGTAAATTCCTAGATCTTTACTCCCAGTAAGACCAGATGATGGTGTAACGGTATTTAAAAATAATTTGTATGTTTTGATTCAGACATGATAGTCGGATCTCAGGAACTATATCCAAATTGTTGTTTTGTCAGCATGGCTGGGTGTTTAAATGTCCTCAAGACTTAAGTGAGATGGGAGGAAAATAAGGATGGAGATGGACGTAAGCAGGGAAAAGCAGAGTGTGATGGAGAGGCACACGCAGTGGTCCTCTATTACCATGGCAACTAGTCACAGCGGGGACACGAGCGAAGAGTCAAAGTAATTTGGAATTGGTAGCATGTCGGGTACTCTCTTAGTGGTGTGTGTGTGTGTGTGTGTGTGTGTGTGTGTGTCTAGACTCATGGTCCATGAGTTTTTGGTAGCAAGGTTAATGTACTTCCTGTTTGGACAAGGATGGCAGAGGTAACGCTTAAGCTGCTTCTGCTTCTTGACATCGCGAGGAAAGTTCTCAGGGTTGAGATTTCCACACAAACAAATCCTGCGTGAGTTTGGGAGAGAGGGGGAGGGAGGGAGAGAGAGGGAGAGAGAGAGGGGGAGTCGTCAGGTGTCCTCCTCTGCAAGGAGGACACATTACTTTGTGGAAAAAGTGAAAGAAAGATCTGCTGTTGCAAAACAATATTAAAATGTGTTCCCAACAGAATTCAACTTGTTTTAAGAATTTTTAAAGATTGTTTCTGGACTGCTCTTTGCTTTGTTGACATCGCCATGTTGGCCGTGCGTGCTTTTAAAGCATGTTGGTTTTCTCCATGTTGAGAGCCGTTGAGAGCTTGGAATGCTCCCAATCTCGTATCTTGCACCATTAAATCAACGCACTTGAAATATTGGGTCAGTTTGTATTATTCCTTCATAGGAATACTGGTAAATTTCTGTGACTCCTGTTGCATGATAATGCTGCCACGTGTGGTCTGCTGTGTGCACTGATGGTAGCTTGGAGGAAATTGTTGCACCAAATTCTTGTTTAATCTGGGCATCCTTCTACTCACTGTATGTGTACACTGTATCGAGCTGATTTGCCTTTACAAAGATTTATTCATGTCCAAAGCCCCACAGCCCTGTCTGACCCGGTGTGAACTCAGCATTATGTAACCATAATTGATTAATCATCATTGAAGGAACCAAGGCTTTAATACCAACACTGAATGCAGTGCAACACCCGAGTGGCTGTTTATCTGCGTGTCAGATGCAAGCGGAGAACACTGAGTGGGAATCGAGGATCATTTTACAGCCTCAGAACAAAACTTAACTGTGCGGAGTTGGCATGTTTCACTCCCTGGGTAATGATACAAATATTGTGACACCATTTGATATGGAGTTTGGACAGATGCGTTATGTAATCGGCTTGGGCTCCTTTAGTCTTGCGCCAGAAATATTTGATTAATTTAAGATGCCAAACAGCTCAGGCTCAGCTGCAGAGACATGTAGGTTTACCGTGTTTGTTCATGCACAAACATGAATCAGTCCTTCCTATTCCTGCTGTAGCCTGTAACAAGATTTCCTTCATTCATATTACCATATTTACACCATGAAATACCCTTGCATTATTACTTCAATCTGCCTGTCATTGTTATTTTGGCTATGCTAGCACCATGGCTCTAGGGTTGGCAATGTCGGTGTGTTGGTTGGTCCAGACTGAAATATCTAAACTGTTAATTTGACTGGAATACAACTTTGTAACGGCTAAACATCAGCTTTTTGCATTTTTCATTGTGAACATATTAGCATGCTAGTGTTAGCATTTAGCTCCAAGCAGCTCGGTGCCTATTTGAGGTTCTACACATGTGGACTCTTTGTCTTGTGTCTTCTTAAAAGTAACATTTGCAAACACTTCCTGTGGATGTCTGTTCCGTTTCAAATGGTCAAATACAGCACACGCTCATGACTAATTCAGATTAATGCAGATAGAATATGTCAGTTCTGACTATGCAGGATGCGTGTGCAGATTGAACAGCATTTGTTATCTGTTTCTGATTTTTGCTTTTGCACCCACTTGAATTGTCTCTCTTCTCCTCTTTTTACAGAATGAAAAGCCTCTGGGTCATTCTGCAAGCAGGTCCAGCAATATATCAAAGGTGAGCAAAGCACACACAAATGGGCCAAAACTGAATGAATGATGTATCGCCTTCCTCCGCCACACACAGAGAGAGAGAAGACAGCAGGGCGGCGGTGAGGTGAGCTGTGGATGAAGGCAGAGATTGACAGGACGGACGGACAGACATGCAGTGGAGTGAGAGTAGCTGATAGATAACCTGCCCCTCTTGAATCACATCGCCTCAATCAGAGCTGCCCCTCTGATCAACCTCCAGAGAGCACACGTGGCTTTGCTCCTCAGCTCACTTTGGCTTCTCTGTGACTCTTGTCTTTCTCTATTTCTTCCCTTCCTTCCTCCCTCCTCGTCTTCACTCCCTCAGGCAAACTACACCCCTCATTGAATCTGACTCCAGGGTTTCAATCCTTGTTCACCTGAGCTACTTATAGGATAAACACTTCACTTGTGCTAACAGATGTCACGGTCACTTCATCACCAGGGGACCGCTCCTGCAACAATGTTTGATCCACAAGCCAGTCACTGTTTGAGGTGGAAGTCATTGCACCTGAGGGACGAATATACCAGCAATGATGTCCATGGCCACAGCTATGACAAACCATTAACAGAGTGTTAATAGAGACAATGTGCCACTCCCAGACCAGAGAGGTGGTATGGCTCACTAAAACGAACAATGACCACTTTACATAAACTGACACACTAATTGTTGTTGATTCATTGAATTGAACTCTTATTGAATTCACTCCATGTGATGGCAGATAACAGATGTGGTAAAACTTGGGTAATGAAAAGACTAAGAACGACTTTCATATGTAGACTGCAGACATTGAACCCAATACACATTTTCTACGCCTTTGAGTTTAATTGCTCTTATATAGTTTATATTTTTAATTTCTATTCTTATTTTTTACGTTATACATTTGTATTTTTTTTTTTCTGCTCTATTTATCTATAGTTATTTCAGTCCTTATTCTGTCGCAACACCTGAATTCCCCCTCTGGATATTAATAAAGACTTATCTTATCTTATTCTCTTACTGATGTGATAGGGAAACCAAAAATAAACAGACCCAACGTGTTCATTACATCCATCCACTGCATTGTAAAATTGTGTGTGCACAACTGCAGTGAGTATACAGTCTGTCTTTCAATGAGATAATCATTAAGACCTCTATACTCATTACCTCTATATCAATGACTTTCTGTAGCTGATCTGGCACATATCATCCTGTAAAAGTACGATTTGACGTTGTTACACTTTGGCTTTGTGACAGATTAAAGAAAGAACATTCAATATGTCAATTCAGACGCGCTTGTAGACGGATTTTGTTACGTTTCGAACAGAGCCAGGCTAGTTGTTTTTAATTTTAGCAGACGGATATGAGAGTGGTATCAAACTCTCAGTAAGAAAACAATTATTTCCCAAAATGTCAAACTATTTGTTTAATGTTTAACCAACATGGCTTTGTTTGGTGTCTACAGAGACGGCAGTTTCAGTCTGGAGCTGCTGCAGCAGGATAGTTTGATGAGGCTTAAAATAGCTGAAACTGATCAATTTAAACATGCAAACACACACACACACACACACACACACACACACACGAGATGGCCAACAGATCGAAGTTCTAGATATCTTGTGCGTAAATGGAAGGGTGAATTTAGTCAGCTGCTTCTGGATAACATGCATTGTCATTAAATGTCCTACCTAGACTGCCATTCCTTTGACAAATGTGTGTAATGGTCATAAAGTATGAACAAGGCTCTTAAGTTTGACAGCTTAAATTAATAACCAGCAGTCTGCCTGCCAGCTGGTGCTTCCTGCTCATTCCTAAAGGGAAATGCCACTGACTGGCAGGTTTCAAATCTATTTTAATTGTTGTTTGCACAGACAAGTCTACCGGGAAAAGATGCTGAGTCAGCTTGTGACTGGAAAGGTTGCTGGTTTTAATTGCTAGACCAGTTTAGATCACTGAGCAAAGAAATGTAAGAAATCCTCTCCAAGCTCTCCACGTATATTGTCCACAACTTAAACTGACTGTTATAGATGAGTTATGTATTTTCTCTTGACTGAAACCACTCATCCCGGAAGCTGCTTTAACCAGAATATGATCAGAGAGACAATAGAAGATTATTTTATGCATATATGCAGTTTTCGCTCCATCTTCGGTATTGGCAGGATGAGATGGGAGATTTTCATATTCCCGGCAGTGACTCAAACGTTCTTTTTTTTTTTTGTTGTTGATGTAGGTCAAGTTAATTTACGTTACAAAGCTCTAAAATGCACAGCTAGTAAGACCATGAGTTACTTTACTCGTGTGCCACTGCTGATGACCGTTTAACGGATCTCGACTGACGCGCGTTTGTTTTCATTCATTTCCACATCAGCAGCTGCAGCCAGACTCCAAATAAAGACACCGAAAACAAACCCTGCATTGCTTCACATGGCACAGATTCAAGCTGAATCACTAGCTCATGTCAGATCAAATCAAAAATGAATGTGCTTGTATCCAATCGTTGACCTACTTAAAAAGATATCTCTCTACATAAATAACCGCAGCATAAGCCTGAGAGGAATATTTCATAACATCTCCAGCTTGGCACAACAATACAGTCTGGATGATTTGTATGTGAGAGCTCAAACAAGCAAAGGATTTGTTCATTCTGTCAAAGCACCTGCTCTAGTTTTATACTGATGACCTGGCAGGATACTTGTGGTCAATTTTTTTGTGTAGAGTCACTGAAATGTTGGTGTTTTTTTATTTTATTTTATCAAACAGCGTTGTCCTCTTTAAGGATGACTCAGAAAAATATCCACTCTCCAGTTACTTCCAACACTTGCTGGAATACCTGCCATGAGACACACACCAGGACAGAGAGAGAATAACAGGAAAACAAGCTGCAGCATTTAGCCAGAGGGTCAAATTCTTTCATAACGATGGTATTGCCTCAATCAGTGAGCTTGTCACTGTGGGGGGGATTAAGGTGTATAGTCTTGGATATGAACGTATACGTGCATCCGAAGCCAAAAACTCTATCTCTCACCTGCTGGGATTTTGTTTGTTCATTGAAGGTGTCTGTTATCGAGCTATTCCTGTCTGGTGATTTGTGGAAGAAAGGTGTAGTTGAGGGCAAATAATCAGCATTTCTGTTAAATGAAGCAATGGTCAGTGTAGAATATAAAAAAAATAATTAAAAAAAGCTGCTCTGAAAGCTTCAGCAGCCAGAGGATTGCCCGGTGATTTGGCAGGAGTAGATTTTCCACTCAGCGAGGTCAGGAGGCTTAGCTGTTGCTGTTTCTCTTTTTAGCATAGTGCCAGGGAGCTGTGCGATGCCTCCTACACCGTTTGGGAAGGAATTAAACTATTACGGTCCTCATGAAGACACAAAGCAGCGACCGACTGCTCCGTGGGCTGCTGTTGATAGTCAGCCAAACATCTGGTTGGTGGCTATTTAGGGCTATCTTCTCATATTGGACAACCTGCAACAAGAAAGTGTTTTGCTTGAAAGATTGCTGTAAAAATGAATTAAACTTATTTGCTAAACGGTTGCTTTTTAGTTGTATGTCGAATGAATTATCAAATAATCAACTGATCGTGTCAGCTCTGCAGCTATTAGAGAATTCTATGAAGCACTTTAACATTAAGGTTTCCAGAGGAACATGAGACAACAAAAGTTTAAAGTTCATTTTCCCCTGTAGTTAGAAAATGAGAGGCTATAGGTAAAAGAAGAATGAAGGCTGAGGTAATAGCAGATGTGATAACAGAGGTGTTAGAGAAATAAGAGATGCAGGGAAATATACAAGTGCAACAGAGGATGATTTATGTGTGGATGAAGTGTGTGTGGATAGTGGGAGTGCTTAAGGAGAGAGGTGAAATTAGTAGTTATGATAATGACTTGAGAGACCGTTTCCAAGCACAATAAACAAGGATTCATTACAGTATGTTTTGAAGGCTGGATTACGTCTAATTAGCACATCGGAGTCAAAGAACGGAATGAAACATGAGCCGAGTGGATGAATTAAAGTGTATATATGTGTATTTTCAAAGTTTCTAAAGTAAAATGTGGCCACTTGACACAATTTTCCAGCAGTGGTTGAGATATCTGTGATAGTGTTTTGGGTCTCCATTAAATGCTGGCACTCATTTGCTCATCAACGGTCCTCGTCATAAAAGAGGGCAGTTATGAGAGAGCAGATATGAGAGAGCAGAGAGCAGTTATGAGAGGGCAGTTATGAGAGAGCAGACCTTTCTTCTGAAGACTCGTACAGGCCGTTAGGAAGTTAATCAAATCATTGCTATCTGGACTCTGTCATCATCCCACCGCTGTTTGCGTCTGCTCAGAGACGGAGTTAGTTATCTATCGGCCAACTCCCAAAGATGACGACATGAATGATTAACAGAGACGGCACTGGAACATTATGTTGAAGATTAAAATAAGGAACAAAGATACCGTCCAGTGTCATTAATGATTAGCGGAAACTGCACTTTTTCTCCGATTACACCGTTTACAGATTTCACATGATGCTTTAGCTCAGCATGTTTCTTCTTTTTAGGCATTGTTGAAGTGAAGAGCTGAGTCAGCATGTAGTTAAATATAGTGATGGGTGCTATAATAATGTGTTATTGCTTTGATCTGATCTTTTTGTATCTCACGCACTTCTCACAGCTGTCTGTTCATTTTACACCTTAAATTCTAGACGCCTGCAGGAGCCCCAAACGGCAGCCTTGAATATTAGGTGTTAAAATGAGAAGATTATATCTCATTTTAAAGAGACATTAAAAGCAACCTTGGATGAACTATAACAGAAGGACAATTGAAAAGAGAGAGACGGCATGTTTGTGAAAGGAGAAGCTGTGCTGTTCAGAAAAACGGACCAAAGGGCAAAGCTAGATATTGAATTTTGTATTGATTGGTGTCGGGACATGAGCCATAAATTCCCCCTTAGTTAGAAATTAAATCAATGGGTAATTAGTTTCTTATCGAAATGACCAGGCCCCCCGTAGCTTTATGTTAGCAGCCCAAACACTGATCCCGTTGTTTAATGTCCCTCCCCAATATGTAAGCTGTCACACTTTGGATACATTGTTTAAGGAATAGTTTGCTTTGAGACTTAAATGAGCAGACTGATACCACTCTCGAGCTGTCGACATGCTTAATATAGAAGTATAATCAGCCGAGCATAAAGACTGGGAGACGGGGGGACCAGCTAGCCTCGCTGTGTCCAAGGAAAAAAAACACTATCCTGGAAAAGCTTGGCTGTCGGCTGTTGTGACCATGGCTGGAGAAAAGGAAAGGGGTTCCACAACTTCCACAACTGATCGATGCTCTGAAAGTCTTTTGTTTTTCCAGATATAGAAACTCTTTAGCTGAGGAACGGCCACATCCGTCTATTCATGCTCAAACTGCAAAACAGCGGAGCAGTGCGCAAAGTAACTCATTTATAAGTGTGGTCTGTGTCGGTCTATAAGGAGTTACAGCAGCATATGTGTAAGATAGTACAGTATAAATAATAATGAATACAGAAAATGTTGAAATAACCCAGAAGTTTCATTTTAAACCATTTGAAGTTCTCCTCATCCCATTTGTGTAACATGGATATTGGTGAAAGCCACAATAGATGATGCTGAAGGCATCATCCTTGTACCTGCCGGTGCATCTGTTCAATATTCTCTGCGGAGGCTGAACAAGTCTACAGCCTCACGTCCTCCAGCTGTGCCTCTCTCAGCGCCTCATTCTTCATAACTCTCCCTCTGTCTCGCAGTCCGTCTCCTGAGCGCTTCGCTCCGTGGCAGCCTGGTGTTTCACCTGCTCTGTGACGCACCGAGACAGATTTTTCCTGGCACTACTTTAATCAGACAGATTAGCTGCCAGTATTGTGTTTTATTCCTTTTTATCATCCAGTGTATCGGTGCGTGACATGCGTTTACTCTTTCTATAAAGATCAGATTCAGGCACTGATGATTCTCACCACACACAGGACCTTTCCTGGCATCCCAGGGAATATGATTTAATCCTGTCTGTTAAAAGATACACTAGTTATTTACACAGTTATATCTTTGTTTTGTTCCTCAGGCGGGGAGCCCGACTTCAGTCAACGCTCCATGCAGTTTCTCCAGGACGTCAGTCTCCCCCTCTAGCCAGGACATCTGCAGGTACAAACCCCCTCATTTCCCTGATATGAACACCTGAGGACAATACATTTAATCAGTTTCTTTGTCCTTTACTGCTGAAGAACCTAATCTGTTTACCATTGAGCAATACACTGTCACTGTGTAAAGTAGCCTTGGTTGCCTGTTACCTGCTGTAAAATGTGATTTTTATAGTAACATGGGTCAACCATTGTTTGCTATTTCCATGCAGAGGCAAAACTGAACACCCAAAATCTTTTAGCTCATTTTGTCAAGTTCCTTTGTTTTCAAATGCATGATGTTGTTTTCCATTTCTCTTTTTTTTTTTTTTTTGTCTTTTTTCATTCCTTCTCCTGCTGTCCCGTACCACGGTCTTCAATCACATTCCTCTTTCATATACACACATGCACAAACACTTACACTCCAGCAGTCGGGTTCAGGACTACCCGAAGCAGACTGCAGTGGTTCTGTTGAATTCAAACGGTAAAACCTGTCAAGGTTCAGGAGGGATTTCAGTCACCACCCTCTGCACGGACGGCCTACCAGCCTCTAAACATGCCAAACAACGAGACTGGCTCTCCCTGCTGCGCCCCTCCTCCGTCAACATCCACCCCAGCGGGGCGCTCAGGTTTTCTGTGTCTCTGAATGACGTGGGCCAACGCGTGGACAGTCTTTGTCGCGGTCTGCACTTTATAGACCGCACCTGCTCTGAGGGAGAGCTGGAGCTGAAGCCCGGGCCCGCTCAGCCAACCGGCTCGGATCGAAGGGCGCACACACTCAACGGCAAGCTGGCTGCAGCACCCACACACCAGATCCCAGATCCGACCTTCTCAACATGCACCCACCCTCACCTCGTCCCTGCCTTCACCAATAACTACAAATACATGTTGGGCATCCCCCCCGCAAATGATCTCCCATCTGCCCCTGCTATCATTGCCCCTCCTCCTCCTCCTCCTCCTCCTCTTTCCAACACTCTCCTCCACCCTCATCACTCTCCCAGCGCCAACTTCCTCCGTCTCCTCCTCCCCTTCTCTCGATCCTCAACCTCGGCCAGCCTGCAGTGCTCTGAGCTGGGCAGCTACGCCTCCAACCTCCACATCCCCAAGTCCTCTAGCGTCCTGCTGGAAGGCAGTGAGTCAGGGTTCCCCGTCGAGGATCTACTGGGAGATGACGACGTGTTCGAGGAGGACCGACTCAGTACAGCTCCAACTAGAACGGGCCAGCTGGCCACCCCAAAAACAGTCACCGTGGCTGGGACCGGAGATCTTTTAGCCCCCCTGTGCTTTATGGATGAGGATGTCGACCTGGACTGCTGCCCCTCCCCTTTGTCAGAGAAAACGGAGCCACTGTCACCCTATTCACTATCTGGAGACTGGTGCAGGTGGGTGACTGTCTGGATGGTAAGACTTGGGTGGTTTACCAAGTCACCACCCTGTGACTTGGTAGACGATCCCTAGCCGTTAGTGGCAGTAAACCCCAGAGCCCTGTGGAGTAGTGGGAGCTTCTCATCCTGTAGTGTAACTACCTACCAAATATCGTACACCTCAGAAACATTTGTCCTCAAAACCCCTGCTCGGAGTAGAGCTGTTGCTTAGGAGAAGTTTACACATAGATGCAACACCATAAGCTGTACTGATTCAACCCCTCATGTGTCTAGAACAGAAATATAACTTCATTTAATTTCATGCCATTTCATTTCACTTCAAAGTTATCTCAAGGGTGTGCCATGTTTTTCGCAGTGCTGTCAAGCTGGGTTTTTTGAGAATAATTTTTCAGTGTTGCTATAGATCGATGAGGCATTAACGTGTCTTAGGCTGCGAAAAGTGGCGATTGATTTTGTCTGTAAACTTTAATCTTCGCAGTAGTGGCAGGACTCGGGGGGGCAATGGCAACGTTAAGGAAAAGATGGAAGGGCAGAGGTCAGGGTAGAACATGTCATAGTATTTGGGAATGAAGTGTGTGTTCTTCTCAGAAATTGTGTAACAGAAGCAGAATAATAGACTTTGAACCAGCGTCTGTCTTATTGGGTCAACAGGGCCGTCATCTTTTTCACACGGCAGCCTGTGTGCAATCTGATAGGCTGAGCCTGTCTATGTTAAGAAGGACAGATTGTAAGAAATATTTAATTACAGACCAGGTCACGACTGCGTGGCTCCTACAGATCAGGCTGGGTAGCGGTAGATGTTTCTAAGTCGCCAAGAAATACAATTTGAGCCCGACATAGATCACGTAGAGAACTTCTGGGTTACAGTATCTGTCTGTCAATACTCCGCCTGGAAGCTGTTCACTGGATTGATGGTGGTTAAGTCTTAAGGACAAAGGAATGTCATTTATATGCGTCTGTCTTGTTTTTTTGGCCCCTCAGCCGTTTCAGATTATACGTCTTATACAGTACGTCAGCTGTGGGCTGAGAGAGAAACATGAGCTTAGAATTGGCAAGGTGACCAGTTCAGAGATCAGGAGACAGATTATTGGCTTCAAATAGCCTTCGTGGTCTCAGCGCACACACTTGCACACAAACAAACACATCGTGGAAGCTTTGTGTCAGGTGGCTTGAAGTGTGAGCTCAGAACGCCGAGCCGGATTTCACCTGTATAAATGTGTGTGTGTGTGTGGGAGGTGGTTTTAAACCAATGTTAATTATTAGCTAGCTTTTTATAATTATTAGCTAGCTTTTTTTATTGATGACATTTCCGAAAATGAATGATCAGAAGTCTTACTCCTTATCAGAAATGTCACTTTGTAGATAAACGTAAAGGTACAAACACGTTTACATTTACCGTTTCTCATCAAAACACCTTGTGTGTATCCTGACAAACGTATTGAATGCATTTGATTTCTCTTAAATATTTCCAAAGCTGCTTTCTGTAAATATTCTTAAAATCCTGCATCACTTATTTATGGCTTATAGTTGTCTTTTTACCTGCCTTTTACTGCCACATCAGCAGCAACACTAGAGTCTATGTTATTAATGTAGTTTCTGAGCAAATTTAATATTCTCTTTTAAGGCAAGCACGGCCACAGAGATGGAGACAAGTAACTTCTTGAGGCGTGCAGAGAGGGGAAAGAAGTCAAAAGGAATATGGGTTCCAGTGGTGCTGCCTTTAATTGAAATGTATTTTTCTCTGACAGAGTGCACAGTAGACTTTAAACTGTTCGGACTGAAAACAGGCTGAGAACAGGAGAGAGAACACAACGCCTCAGATGTCACACTCTGCCCCATACCTCCCCCATGAAAATATGTTTAGCAGAAATGCAAAAATAAAAACAGATTGTGTCGAAATATTCATTTGAAAATATATGAATAATTGTTTCAGGTTCAGGGCAGAGCAATGAATAGCTGGAGGGAAGGGATCTGAAAGCAGCACGTTGAGGTAGTGAAGAGTGCAACGGTCAGATGATTGTCACAGGAGAAGTATGAGGAAACGGATAAGAGTGAACAGGAAGAAAGTGAATGCCCCACCAGGGCTGTAATGTTGCCGAGCTTGTTTCCTCTCGGCTTGTGGCGCTTGTGATTTCCCAATTCTGTTTTGCTTCACATATTTTAATGCTGACATACTGTAATGGCGCCTCTGTCATCCTTAGATCACTGTTAAACAGGGTGTGTTCTGGCTGCTGAAGTGATGCAAATTTAATTTTAACTTCCCTCCCATGCCTAATGGTGCTCGGAATGTGCTGCTGCCGACACCGGTACAGTAAATTTAGCTGTTTGGGATTATTCCGTTAAATGTACTGATGAAGCACGCGTCCCTTTGAATGGCTGAATTGTGTTTGCTCCATTTGTGAGATCTCTATTTTTAAAGTGTCTTTTGCAGCAGTTTACAGACAATCTAGCAGACATCTAGCATGAAACCTACATTTCTCAGCTCGAGATCCCTAGAGTCCTCCTCCACTCATGTTGTTTACTCATCACTTTATTTCCACCATGACTCCATGTGGAGGTGGGATTCTTCCGTTATACCCTCCTATGTTTTAAAAAACAACAACACGGTAACATTAGAATAATTTATCAAATCCATTTCAGCAAGTGCCAACCCTTGATATGAGCACCAAGACAGTCCAGGTCCTCAGGCTGGTTTTAGTTAGTTTTGTTTTTCTGTAAAGAGGAGTACACAACAGTATGTGTGGGAAGAGAATCTGCAGTGTATCATCTTGTGATCCATACAACAACAATCACACAAACAAAGCAGCTCAGCCATAACCAATAGAAAAAAACACTCTTCCAGAGATGTTAATTATGCCTCCTCTATCCCTTAATCCTTCGCTCCTCATTCCACTCCCTCCACCTCGTCTGTTGAGAAACCCGTTGATATGACCTATTTTTATCCTCTTTTCTTCACTTTGTCTTTTAAATCTTGTAACGCTTTGGCCAGATCAGTGTAGTCTGCAAATAGACGTGATCTTGCTTGCTCACTTTCACAACATGTGTGGGTGCGTGTCTTCATCATGTGTTCTTATCCTCCCCTTAACTGGGATGACGACAAACCCATTTGAACAACCTGTTCGCTTCTCCACCTTCTTTCAATGCCGTTGCTTACTTGTTCTCCTAGAGAGAGGAGCCACTGCTCTCTGTGCCTCACTCGGGGGGGAACACAGCAGACGCCTTTCCTCGTTTATGCATCTGCTGCTATAAATTGGTAGAAAAGGTGGACTTGAAGTTAAGGTTTAAATAACTGCTTGCGCCTTCCCTTGTGCAGCTTGTTGTAGTTGTATTGTGTTTGAAGGTGCAATAGCAGATTTTCCCTGGAGGCCCTGCTCTGAACAGGCCAATGTCCTGACATTCAATTCTGAGATCACAATGACTTTAGTTTGTGCTTCCTGCAAGTTGTGTGTATACTTATGATATTGACTTGACGAGGTAGGAGGTTGCTCCAATAACCCTTTCCAACCTCTCATTTTGTGCGGTAACAAACTGAAACTTACTGCTTTGGCAGACTGTACCTGGCCTACTGGTGGAACTGTGTCGTACATGCAAAGTCTGGATTCTCACATCTATCGCTGCGTCAGACGAATGCACACCTCCTTAATGTGTGTGACGAATAGCTCCAGCCCTCCAACCTGCCAGTGTCCGATATGTGAACTTTAAGAGGAGCAAGGGTTCCTTTGGTCTGATATTAAAATATGATTGTTTTTTTGTTACTGAGCAAAACATGTTACACCGGACACCCGTTCAATTTAATGCAATTAGATGCAGTAGCATTTCAACAATTACCAGAAAAAAGTTGTATTACAGTGACCAGAGGTATTTCTACCCCAGATGGTATTTCTGCAGTTGTCAGGGGTTGGTACTGTATGTGTAAGAGTGTAGACATACAGAGTTATTCACCAAAAACTAAAACACCAGCCCACTGCAACATCTGCACAGGCATCCAATAGCTTTCCCCACAACTGGCTCAGATAGTCTTGAAATGGGGTCATAGACCATCAGAAAACCTGAACACCACGTGGTTCAAATGAGTCCGTGAAAACTATATAATAAATAAATAGTTTATACATAAGTAATGTATAAAAGGCTGAAATAGTATTGGTGTATTGGTGGTTGTAGTATAAATGCAAACTGGATCAAAGCAACGAAACATTGAGTGTGAAAAAACAGTATCAATATTCACTTTTATATAGTTAATAGTGAATAAAATCCAATTTATAATCTGTTCATAGGAACAAATCATTACAGGCAACTTTTATCAATTCTTCCAACATTGAGACTTAAGATTGCTGCTGCTGCTGCAACTGCAGAGTATCTGAGATTCAAATTGCTTTGATCTATTTTGTGCTGCGACGTAGCGAGAACACAGGAGGTTATTTTCTGAACATGTCATTTTGATTTGCAAATGAAGTGCTTTGAATCAAATGAGTTGGACTTGATTGAGTTTATTCATGTGGGACATGTGTAGTCTTCTGCGTTCAGCGTCTCAATATTTGTGGAATAAAGTTTCCACCTGTCTTGCGTTCCTATATCGGTGGCAAGTGTGGCATTAATGAGCATGTTGTCCTGTTACTACTAGAGAATGCTCTTTCCTTGTCTTCCTCCTATTACAGCTGCCTTGCCTCCTAGCTTAGTGTTGACTGTTTTCTTTGGCTCCTGTAGGATCTGTCACTGTGAAGGGGATGAGGAGAGTCCTCTGATCACACCATGCCACTGCACGGGAAGCCTGCGCTTCGTCCACCAGTCCTGTCTACAGCAGTGGATCAAGAGCTCCGACACTCGCTGCTGTGAGCTCTGTAAATATGAGTTCATCATGGAGACCAAGCTCAAACCACTGCGCAAGGTAAGACGTAGTTTGTATGTGTGCATGTTTGTCTCAAGTCAATTACTGCACTGGTTCATTAGTTCAGCCTCATTGCAGCTCCAAGTGTCCGAACTTAGCTCACGTCACTCTGACAATGTGAGGCAGAAAATGCCAAAAGCTGCCTCCAATCTGTCACACGGATAACACGTGCATGACACCGACTTTTTAAGAGGTTTTCAGAAGTGGAGCTCGTTGGGGAGGAGTCGGAGATGGCACACTCCCATTAACGGCTCTTATCAATCGCTGTGGCCTGGAGATAGCAGGACACTAATTAAAATTCCTCCACCCTTCATTAGCTGCACAAAGGGCTTCAAACTAATGCTCAGCTGTTAATAGCTTCTGAATGGCACTGGTGAATATCGAAGTTGTTGAAAGATGAGATGATGTCGGTCTCGTGTTTTTTGCAGAATGTTGAGTGTGATATAATCCCCAAATTTACAATGTACCACTGTCTTCACTTTTTAATATGGGCATGTGCTTTTTTTAAATAAATTTTATTATTATTATTATTTATCAAAGGGTGCTTAGTTTCATCTCGCACTGCAACTCCCGCTTCTCTTCAAAATGACCCTGCAATCAAAGGAATGCGTTTTGGATGTTGAGAGGCTATACAGCTTATTTGCAGAACTGATCTGATGGTGCCGGCATTGAATTTTGTGTTTTCTTTGTAAGGCTGGGCTCAGTTCCTGATAATGTATTGTGAAGCCAATGACCTGTGGGCTGCTTCTTCTCCGTTTTACTCGCCATGCCAAGAAACCTTATGTAGCATTGGATCTTGATCACAGAAGCCGAACGCTCTCCATCAAATGTTTCGCTCGCACTCTTGAGCTGCTGAGAGCCAAACAGTTTTATCGCTTTAAGTGTTGAGTGTGTGTTTGAAAGCTCCGGTCTTTGAGTGTGAATGTATTGTTGACCTCCTCAAATGCTCTTTCTTTGTCCTCTCCTGCTCTCTGTCTGCAGTGGGAGAAGCTACAGATGACGGCGAGCGAGAGAAGGAAGATCATTTGTTCGGTCACCTTCCATGTCATCGCCATCACCTGCGTGGTGTGGTCGCTGTACGTCCTCATCGACAGAACAGCGGAGGAAATCAAACAAGGTCAGCGCAGACCGGGACGCACACACAAACATTCATTGACGCAACGTTGTTGTTTGTGTTGGATGCGGTCAGATGTCATCCATTCTAGAATGTCATCCATGTTCAGTATTTAATGACAAATCTGCATAACTGTAGTGTTATTTCAGCAGTGCGAGTATTGAGTTCAAATAGTGTGAAATGTTCCCTAAGACTGGAATATACGTCGGCGTCATTCACTTGCAGAAGCTCCGTGGGCACCAAAGGCACGAACAAATGTGTAGACGAGTGTGCTGAGGTTCTTTCAGAGATTATCTTCTGTCTGTTCGTATTTTGGAATTTCTCTTCAATTCAGTTCGCTTTGATTTCAGACCTGTGGTCCATAAAACTTCAGAGATAAAAGAAAAGAGATTTTAAAAGTAGATCTTTAGAGCCGTCATTATAAGATCCAATTTGAGATTGTGACTTTCAGAGTGAGGTGGTTTTGGTTCATCCTTAGCTTCTTCAAGGGAGTTAAATCAGGTGTTGTGTGCGTGATGTGAATTAAAATTGCAAGTTGAAAGTATCTTCGGTGATTAGTCTCGTCAACAAAAGGCCCTCTCTTGTGTGTTTATACTGTATTTGAAGCTACAGTCGCAATCTTTACTTAGGATGCAGACTGGAAGCATCTAGGCTGGCTCTGTCACAAGGGAACAGAATGTTACTCTGGACAGGTGTGCCAGATTGAAGAAATGGAATTTAACATGTAAAATAGTGAGCTAACCGGCTGCTGACTGTAGATGGTTTAAGTAGGGCGTTATGGTCTTTTTAAAACGTCAAAGTAAGAGGAAAACGTGACTAGGAGTTAAATAGTCCTTTCAGCAGCCCTTGGAGCCTGGGCTGCTCCTTATTTCCATCTCTACCAAAGTGGTCAGCGGCACTGGGTTACGGACAGATTGATTGACGGAGCGCCGTGCTCTCCTTACCGGGGCTAAAAATGGAGACGACTGCTTTAACGATGAGCTGTTGTATCATCCGCTGGCAGCACGTCTGCTGCCGCTCACTCCTCTTTGGCATATTTGGTGCTTCTGAGACAGCGTACAGATGGAAGAGCAGGCTGTGCCTGTTTGGCCCGACCTGATGATTCAGACTTGTTGGAGTCCCAGTGGGCTGTCAGGTTCAGTCACCATGGTGGTGCCAAATAGCTCCTCCCCAGTCCTGTTTGTCCTCTGCCAAGTCACACAGAGACCAGGTTATGTTTTTTCTCCCAATTTGCTTGCAAAGATTATAATCTTTAAATTATAATCTTTAAATTAAGATCTAATATGCCTTGAAATGTTTTCCATTGTCTTCTTTGATTTGTTTATGATTGCATGGCGAGTTACATCCAACTGTAACACTTGACTTTTCTTTCAATTTCTGTGCATTTGTATCAATCTGTTTGTGTGTCTTTGGTAAAACATGACACTGACACTTTCTTTACTCATGCAGCCGGAAGAATCCCAGGTAAACATTTCAACTTTGGCCCTTTGGCTTTCAAATTGTGTTTTCCCCGTCAGCTTTTCTGTCAGCTGTGTCTGGTTATTTTCCAACTGCCCTTTCCTTCCCTTTCCTTCCCTTTCCTTCTCTTCTCTCCCCTTTCCTTCCCTCGTCTGCCTTGATTTCAGGATAAAAATAATGTTTCTTCACCCTTAAAGCTGAATATATATATATATATATATATATATATATATATATATATATATATATATTCACCTCACTGAATGTTCCAACCTAATGAATGCAGAGAGACACTGAGTCGAGGAACATGCTGCCATTTATTTTCTGTGTTATCCTTTGTGGCTTAATTAGAAGAAACCTCACTGACATATTCTCACACAACAAACATGTTAATCTCTCCTCATAAAGTTATATACGCATAATTAACACCTGATTGATTATACTCTGTATTCTTCCCATTATATGAAGCATTTTGTATTTCATTCCATATATTTATTCTATCATCAAGGGTAGGATTTAGTAATTCAATTGTGGACCTTCTTTGCCTTAATATCTCAAACTACCTGAAATATTATAGCCAACAGCTGTGAATCTTTAAAAGATTATTTTTGTTTTCTCCTTGTTGTTTTTGAAGATCTCTGTTATGCCTCTTTGTGTTGCAACTTGTTACAAATATTTACACCCCCATAATTTTGATATTTTTTCCATCTTACTTGGAGCTTTATGGATTCGGCGTTTTTGCAATTTGCAGAAATGCTGCAGCTGCCTCAGGAGGCATGGAAATGTCTTCCCACAGTTTAGCAAATTTACTACAAATCACCATTTTTAAAGCCTGCTGTAGTGTTGTCATTTTTTAGCGGTGTTCTCGCTTTTCAAGCAATCGTTTGCTTATTTTTGTTATATGCAATTGTTTTGGGGGGCATTTGATGCCGTAAATGGACAAACATTGGAGAGATGGCAGGAAATGAGGGGCCACTAGGAAGCCCCCATTTGTTTTTGTTCATGTTGATTACATCTATCAATGATTACACAATGAGCATTTATTTATGGTAGTTTATTTAATTTAGTTGTAAGTGTAGACTGTTCTTAAAAGTAGTTGGCGATCTGCATAAAATCCTCTATCACCGTATGTGTAGTTTTATGTCACATTGTGGATTATGTGTTGTGTGATGCATTTTTCTGGAAAATCAATCTAGAAATAGTATCTAATTCAGTGAAAGAAATATCTGAGAAATCAGGAAATGTTATCACATTCATGCAACAGTAATACTGAAATGCAATTATTTCCCAACTGGTTTGAATGTGTTTTGCATTATTTCTTTTCTGGTCTATGTTTGACTGGTGCCCATGTTTCTTTTTTGTCTGCGCTCTGTTCCTCAGGACTCCTGGAATGGCCTTTCTGGACCAAACTGGTGGTGGTGGCCATCGGCTTTACGGGTGGACTGGTGTTCATGTACGTCCAGTGCAAAGTCTACATCCATCTATGGAAGAGACTCAAGGCTTACAACCGGGTCATATACGTCCAGAACCGGCCAGAAACGTGTAAAAAGCTGGTACTGGAGAAGCCGCCCCTCATGGAGCCAAGTCTGGAGAACAAGGAACCTCTGGCGCCAACCCTGTCGGACACAAACTCCTCCCAGTACACAGAGACTGAGGACTACAGTATGGAGGTGCTCCATGTCTGACCACTCAGTCCATGGTTGTCCTACTACTCATACTTCACACACAGACAGGCCCACAGTGAAGAGCAGCCGTTGTGGAACTGCTCGCTGACTGAGGAACGAGCACACACTCCTCTTCCTCTGATCCCAGACTGACCCACTGTCCTCTTCTGGTCTTATATTCCCAACACTTCGTCCACAGAGACAGACAGACAATGCCCATCTTCTTCTATCCACATTCATCCTATCTTATCCCTTCCTCCACCTGCACCCTGAATCCACGTCTCTCTCCTTTCCTCGGACAGGACTGTTTTTACTGACGTCTATAAATGTCTGAAGAGGCCTGGAGCATACCACTTTACACACACGCACACACACCCTTGTTTGTACACCTCTGGGAGAGCAGGACTGAGACAAACGGACTCACAAACAGCCCCGGAGGTCGACATATTTGTTATGCGTGGTTTCTTTGCTTGTGGGTTTGTTAGATTTGTTCGTTTTTACCTCCTGTGAGTCTCGGGCTAAACTGCCGTGGATCAGTATGTAGCGCCACGCATCGGATCTCTGGAACATTCCAGCTACTGCCATCTCTTTTGCTGTGGTCTGTCAGCCCAGAGCTGGTCTGGATCCGACCAGACCATGATCTGGACATGCATTGAAGCACTTTTGTTTTTTAGTTCCCACAACAAATCCCCTCCCTTCCTCTTGCCCTTTTTTTCTTTGATATGAATTAAGTCTTACTGTATATGTTGTACATGCAGGAGAGCACATTCGAACTTCAAACTCCTGTTTTATTTGACATTTCTTCATACACACGTATACATGTATATTAAGCCTCCTGTGGATGACAAAAAAGGAATTGGTGGTTAAAGAAATTAAATCATGCTGAAAGAAACTGAGTGTTTTAGTCAAAATACAAAACAATTATGACATCAGACTCAAAGTTCTAATGCAGATAATGGAAAATCCAGCCACATGACTTCTGTACCCCAACATGATCTTTCTGAAGGCTTTGAGAATGTAAACTTTAAAAAAAAAAAAAATTTAAAAAAAATTTAAAAATATAAATAAATAAAAGCAAGATTTTTTTTTTTTTTTTTTTTTTTTTTTTTTACTGGTCACAGGAAATTGCGAGATACTTTCTATGTCTTGAGAACATTGCGAGAGCCTTTGGGCATAAACATCACCGCTCATGTTTTTCTATCATGCGAATGACACAATATTTACAGTGTGATATTCCATGTGCAGTTTTTAATATGCTGATTTGTTTGCTTAGTCCCGGGATACGCCCTGGGAAATTCACAGCTGCCTATTTTCAGTCTGTCCTCCCACCGTTTCAGGCAGTGCGTTGATTGATCCCAAATAGATAGTTTTGATTAAACTGTAACTGTGTATTTGAATTTGACTGCTGAATCGGTTTCTGCTCTGCAGGACCCACAAATTTACAACCCATCCCTTCAGTTATGTTAACGCACGAGAATAAGGTGAAAGATATGATTGTTATTGAGCGTTTCAGACAAGCGGATGTCTCTGTTACAGCGAAAGTTTCTCTTTTCTTTTTAACAGACTCTTATCACATGTTAGAGTATCTATTTTAGTATTTAATCACAAGACTGCCAGCAATGTTGCCTCCCAATCAATGGAGCGTTAACTTTATCTCACATTTGGCCTCATGTCGCTCAAATGAGACAAATTGCTCCAACACCTTTTTTTTTTTTTTCATTTCTAAAAGGAAGCACAAGTTAAATACTGTCACTGCATTATTTCAGCATGAACGATTGGATGCAATGCATGCACACATACATTTGCTGCCTGTGACAGACAGATATACAGTACAGTGCAAGTCATCTCTCATCGATGAGCTGACTGGAGAGCCATCTGCTGGCGAGAAGCTGAAGGTGCCGTCTGATGTAGGCAGCGGTTGATTTCTCAGGGCGATGTGTTTTGGGGCTTACAGTCATTGTAAGTGCTTTGTGTATGTGGGAGCACAGTGATGCCAGGCTCATGTTGAGCCTCACAGCCATTCCAGCAACACACACACACAAAAAACTGTCTTTGATACCAGTGCACTGTCTGTGAACAACGATGGTCCAACAACATGTGTGACAATTACTGCTCAGCAGCAATAACTGAAATCCGTGCTTTGTTTTTTGCAACAATTCATACTGTACTTGTGTATATGCCCCACAGTGACTTGAGATCTGGAGTGTAATATAATTTGAATACATAATATGAGCCGAGGGAGTTATTGTGTGTCGAGTTGGATTAAGACCTAGTGATGAGAAGCGTCTCTGAAACTTTGATACCCGCGAGGCTCAGTGCAAATAGACAGATAAAAAGTGCAATTACCCTTTTGTTGATATTCTATTCTATAGTTATGTAATGGTGTTTAATGTCCAGGGTGTGTCCTGGGTATAAAATGATTATTTCTTCATTTTGTGTTGTATTTATTTTTAAAAGAAAACAGTACAATTTGTTGATTTTAAAAAAAACAAAAAAACCTTTCATTAGTAATTTTATGCAACTTACACTTTTTTTTTTCCCCAGGCATAAATATACCTGAACATCACTTTTAATCTTTGTTTTGCGGTTCAGATATCGTAGTTGTAAAATGCTTGATTGTGAATATCTGCTCCACCGTCTTGCTTTTTAAAATGCTTGATGAATTTAGTCCTAAATGTAGACATTTAACCGCAGAATCGCATTTAATCATGTCATATTTTTCAAATAAACAACATGGAATAATTAGACATGTAGTTTCCTTGAGGTGGAAGATAGAAGATGGACTACAGATTGTGATTTATTTATTTTTTTACTTTCTAGTCATAGGAGCTGGCTCCTTTCATGAAGTCTGAGACAGAAGATTTGAGGCCACTTTGGGACGCTTTTATAAGCCGACGTGTTCCTCTCTGAGAGCAGCTTTTTATTTTTTGCTTTCTTTCTTAGTGCCCCTCTCATGATGAAGTGATTTCTCCATTTTATAATCCTATTAAGCACATTGTCTTGACCCTGTCGCTTACGTTTGATCATGTCTGGGAATAGTGTAACTTGCATAAAGCTACATTTGTTTACTGACTGGACTTGAACATATATGACTGTTCCCCTGTCTTATATCATTCCACAAGTTTGTCTGTGAATTTACTTTGGAATAGTAACTGTAAAAAATTTGTAAACGTACTTATGTTTTTGAAATAAATATTGATGTGTTTTCAGTTTAATTTCCCATTATTGAACAAAGTATGTAGAATTAAAAAGAACAACCAAATAAAAATTAAGTTACTTTTAACACTGTGTTTTTCAATGTAAGCCATGTGTTTTGAATTTAAATGTAACAGGATTTGTTAGTGGCTCTGTCACAAAATACATGAAAAGGTTAATATTTCAGTGTCTTCAGATGTGAAGCAGTTTAACATCTTCTGATTTACACTACTGAAGGAGCAGACAAAAAACAATTAAGTAAATTTGAGGCTTTTTTTTTTTTTTTTTTGTCAGCACATTGTAATATACAGAAGTATCACAGGAACACACTCGGGTGACAGAGTTTTTTTAACATCTCAGTGATATCAGCAGAACTTCAATGTGCTATTGGCAAAATATTTCGCAGACGCATGATTTTATTCCTCAAACAGCGACACTGTTTGGGATTTTGTCGGGGGACATGTTGTAGTACGGCAGCTTCTTTCCGTCGTTCCTCCTCTTGATGGAGCTGCTTATCTCTGCCAGCTGCTTCCTGAACGTCTCCATGGCCGCCTTCACTGGCTTCTCGATGAAGTGCTCATCAGGATACATGCCCAGGTACAGCTGCAAGGAGAGGGAGAGGGGAGACGGGTCATTCAGCCAGGAGGTGCACTGCAAGGCGCACTGGTCCTTAAAACAAGTCTGTACTGTACCGAGACGTGTGTGTAAGAATGATGGCCTGTGTGTCTGGACACTGGGTGCCCTTTCCGTACCTCTCCCTCCTGGTACTGGCTGAGGGCCCAGACGGCCCCCAGGTGCCAGCTGGAACGTCCGCGATCAGGAAGGCTCTCGATGATCAAGTTCACATTTGCCAGGCCCTTCCGGTTGGGCGGGGGCCTTCTCATGGTAGATGGAGCGTTGGGGATCCAGGAACACCAGTCATACTATACACACAATGTACACAAAGATACAGAATGTGAATGCAGTCATTTTTACTCAACTTTTGTACTTTTTACTCCACTGCTATTTATCTGACAGCTGTGATTACTAGCTACATTACAGAAAATACTACGCATTGTTAAATAATAAACCAGTGAAAATCCAATTTCTTACTCAGAAAGCTATCTAGCTTGGGCTCAAAAATCTGAGAAAAGTACACGAAAAAGAAAATGTTCTCCTTTCTTGCCCCATTAATCATCTCATGGCCCCTCCGATTTATCTTGTGACCCGCTGATCACTGGAATAAACTACCTTGCTGTTTATAGCAGTAGTTAAAACAGGATGCATCCGCATTAGAAATCCAATAATATAATCTATAATATATCAGTCGCATGGGCCATTTTTCTTCAGACCAAGCAATGTTGCTTTTGATATATTAAGTAAGTTTTGCTGATAATAAACTGTACTTTTACTTAAATAGGATTTTGAATGAAGGAGTATTTTTATGCTGTTCTGGTAGTTTTACTAAAGTCAAGGGTATGAGTCCTTCCTCCCCCACACACTCAGTCAGAGGACCTTCAGAACTCCCTTCACATCACTTATAAATTTAAGAAATTGATTGTTAGGTTCCTGATTATCTATTACTCACCTGTCCAAAGTTGACCGCTGCATGCTGGGCCGAAGCAGTGAACACAATGACGGTCAGATACTCTGTCAGCTCCTCACGTGATTTCAGGGACTTGGGAAATTCTGTGCACATATAAGATTGACAAAGTGAGCTTAAATCTGTACAAAAACCTTGTGTGAAATATCCTTGCACAATGCAGGTAATGGAGAAATGCCAGAAGGGTTTTACAACACTGCAACAGTGACACCATCACCATGCCGTGGCTTCCTGTCTTCACCCTGAAACTATTCGTCTGTAACAGAACAGATGTGAATTTGTAATTTCCCTGACTTAACTGTCTTCTCCAGAAAACCCAACACAAACACAAATATTGAAGGTTGAGTTGCTTCTCTCCCTGGGAAAATAAACTTTAAATATTGGTTAGTTGCTACATTTTCAGAAAAATGACACAACAGGAAGTTGGTAATGTGTACCCACCACAGTTATCGAAGTCCTGCATACCGAAGCTGCACACATCTTTAATGAAGGCCTGGATTTCTTCATCTTCCTGCACCGTCTCATCGCTGGTGTAGTAAATATGCACCACATCAGACACAAAACTGCCAGAAAGAAAAGAAGAAAGCAGTCAGGTATAGAGAAAATAACTTGATAATAATCTGTTGTTATGGCCGTTTTCTGTCCCTCAAAGACACAAGCTATTCTTCAGTGCCGTCTATAAAAACTCCTACAAAGAGTTGTTCTTCACCTCTTGGTGGCCTCCCACACCTTGTAGCCGTCGTCTCTGTAGAAGTAGGTGGGCAGCTCCTTCTTGTCGTCCACACCGCGGGCCTTGATAATATCCGGGAAGCACAGAGACCTGAAAGTCAGAGACTTCATGGCCTTTTGAATCATCTGGACGTGACCGCCTCCACCTGTTGCGTTTGCCTTGACGAGGATGGAGAAGATACAGCATCACCCTCACTACTCTTGCAGCTATTTATGGTGCTTTTGAGAGTCCATTACTGAATGCACTATGACCCATTTTAAGCAAAGACATCCTATGAGTCTACATATAACTTTGACATGTCGTTTCATTAGAGGAAGGTAAAAGGCCTTTCGCGGTTCTTTTCCTCCATTTTTTGGGTAATTTTAACTCACAAATCTGTTGAGAGTATTACGTTTTTCTGTATTTTGTATCCACAAACTCACCTTGTCAAAGATGCCGCACTCACAGATGAGCTGCTCTCTGGCCTTGGTGTTGATAGCCATGGTAAAACGAATGTGTGGCATAAGTAGCTGGAAGAAGGAACACCAATCAATCAATCAATCAATCAATCAAATTAATCAATCAGTCAGTTGACCAGTCACAGTTTTACCTTATACACAGGGTGAACAGCAGGGAGCTGCCTGTGCACGGCAACAGCAAACACCTCTGTTATCAGATGAGTCCTGAGCAGGTGTGTGATGGTCTGGTGGTACTGGAAGTCTGCTGAGCGGACCCAGATCTTAGCCAGCAGCCAGTCGTGCTGACCATCAGTGGGCAGGAAGATCGGGTGGTCTTTCCCTGGAGTCTGCCCAAGCTGGGAAAACACGGAGGACAAGGGACAGGCAGGAAGAAATTGATTTATACTGGAATGTTTCCGTCATTTGCTGCTCACCATCTCTGTACCTGTATGGCTATGGGCAGGATCTTGTTCTGAGCGTTCTTGTAGAGCAGACAGATCGGAGCTGCCAGGTACTGCAGCGTGCACGGATCTGTGCGGTTAGGACTGATGCCTTCCAACACCTCGTAGTCCACTATGTAGATGTTACCTGCCTGGAGCCGGAACGTTGATTCACACAGTACGTCAGTGGGACAATTTAAGTGAGACATAACTGAATAGGTTCACAGAAACAGACACCATCTACCTCTATTTCCTCCTCCAGAGTCAGCTCCCTCTCCAGGCAGACAGAAACCATCTCATCAGTGACAGGAAACTTGTCAGGAAGTTTGGTGCACTTTTGGATCATTACGGGGTTGCAGCCGTTTAGAAATTGGTACCCAAACATGAAGTCCTCCTTCCAGTGTTGCATCACATACTCTGGATATAATATAATATAAATAATATAACATAACATAACATAAGATAACATAACATAACATCATATATGTGAGGCTGACCTGAGATTGTGTTTTTGATTCTCACAAAGATCTTCTCAAAGTCAGCGAAATCACTCCAGGAGGACTGGAACATGTGCATGAACTGGTTCACAAACAGGTTCTCTATTCTGGAAAGTCATCATCACATTCGTCACCATATTCATGTCAAAAAGGTCACAGTATTTTCAAAAATCTGATGCATTTTCATTTAATATGTCAATTAAACTCTAAACGTGTTATACTGTTGTGATGACTTTTTGCAGAAAGAAGCAGCCCTAAAAGCTAAATAAATGTAATTATACCATAAGATCTGTCAACAAAGATGCAGCATTTCAGTCAACACCCTTGAAGCTCACTGTGCGAAATTGCATACCTTTATTTTCCATCTCACCTACCTCTCCAGTCCACAAAGCATTATCATTGTCAAAGCTTTGACATTTTCATAATGTTCAGCAGAAGTACTGCATGATGCAAACAGTTTGGGATTCGTTTGGTATTGTGTCTATGTGCAAGCTCTCGCGCCTGCATGAAGGCGCAATGCAAATGTCCCTGGTAATAAACACACAATGACCCTTCTGTTTCTCCAGGAAATCATGCGCATAGAAAATAGCTGGAGCTCAACATATGACCGTGACGTCATGAAAGATGAAAAACATTTCAGAGGTTAAAGCTCCACTGAATCACTCTGTTCTGTATTGAGGGGGCGTCAGTTGTCACAACAACCAATGTAAAGCTCTACTACAGCGGCCTGTTTGAGGGAGCACGTACGCCTTACTGTAGTTCAGTACGAAGTCCACTCCCTTCTCACTGTCAAACTGGTTGTCCCGGGGCAAATCCTTGTGTCTGTCAACATCTATGCTCATAGGAAAGCCTGGCTGCCACTCCTTCCATCTGCAGAGGACAGCAGAGTTGTTAGTGAGCCGCCTCAGCCTTCTGTAACACACAACCACACACACTGCATGTGCAGAGTGAACTTGCTTGTAGGTTTTCCTCCTCATGTCCAGCTCTTTTTGTCTGTGCTGCTTGACTAGGCTGGTCTTATCATTCTGAGGCAGATGTGCTGCAACAGACACAAGACATGAGGGACGGAGCTCGTTACTGCAGACTCTCACTGATGACAGCGAGGAGGCAGGCGGTCTGTTATTCAAACTAAACAAAGTGAACTGATGTACCTCTTCCATCCCGAAGCACCACTTCCTTGTCATCCACCAGCCAGCGGAAGCAGGGGAACTCCAGGTAGTCTCCAGACGGGGTCTTGACTGTGATGTACTTGCAGTACCAGTCATCATGCACCCAGTACTTCTTCTTCTCAATCTTCACCAACAAAATCTCTCCCAGGTTCTCCCCGACCCTGACGTCATAAGAGTCCACCTGCAATTTAGTCAGCGGCTAAATAAATAATCTTTAAAAAATAGAGCAACTTTGTGAATCAGGTGTGTATTGTTAGTTTTGTGTTGTTCTTTTTAAGGAAAAAGGGTAAAACACACATTTCACGTGTCACCATGAGAAAACATCAATGTCACATTTGTTTTTTGTAAGAAAGATGAATTTCACAGGTAGTATCATGTTCACACTTGCAGAGAAAGTTGTAGGAAGCGAACATATGTGACTTTAGTATTTTATATAATAAAAACATTATTTAGGTGCATGAAATATATATTTTCAACTTAAATTACAGCTTTGAAAGGGGCAACAGATTATAAAGAATAAAAAGTGTTTTATTTAAAAAACTGTATGAAGAATGCTAAGTTGATGCTAAATTTTGACTTTAATACCTCATCCCACCTTTAACAAGCTCCGCCTCTTTAGTATTGCTTTTGTTTACTTTTATTTATTTTAATCTGTAGATTAATTGTATTATTATTAGGTATATTTATTAGCTTTACATTGTCTATTTTATGTTTTTATACTGAAACACTATGTGAAGTCAGATCTAATAACAAACTACTTATATCTCATCTTTCGTCTATATTTGTAACAGTTTATTTATTCAAAAATATATTTTAGTGGCATTGTGGAAAGACCTCCAATGTGTTAATTTTAAAACACCGAACAGTGTGCAGTATAATGCAAAAGATAAGAAAACATTTTTAAAAGATTTAAATATTTTCCATTCAAATCTGCTTCATGTTCGGAACAGCAAATATTTTCTTAGATTTCTTCTTTCTACTCATTTTTGATTCCCCCTCCAAAATAAAAGTTGTTCATTTTCAAACAGAGTCGACTTCAAGTTACATCTCTGTTGGAACGTCTTCCTCTTTCAGGTCAGCATGTCAACAATCTCACCCAGCGTTTGTGTCTAGTTGTTGATGCTCGGCATTCATCAGAATTTTAAAAATGAATGCGTTTGTCACACAGTCATCCTCACAGCCCAGTGTAACGTCACTTACCGCCCCCCTCTCAAAGTCATTGTACAGAGCTTTGTCCAGCAGCGTTCTCTCGCTGCATCCCTCCGTGCCCACCAGAGTAATGTAGATATAATCATCCGTCCCTGCGAACCACTGGCTCCCTGTGGAAACAGTCACTGTGTAAGAAGGCATGGCGGCCCCACCGGTCCAAGCACCCTCTGAAGATGAAGAAACCTGCAGAAGAGCTACAACCACCCACGACAATGACAAAGGCAAGTTTTCCCTTCTTCAAAGCTGTATCTTTCACTGACATACACTTCTCATTGCTCTTGCAAAATGAAGACAATGTGTAATCAGGCAGCAGAGGGAGTGGCAGGACACGTACCTCCGCCCTCTTACTATTAATGAGGTCAGAATACAATACGACTGTCCTTCCTAGATGTGTTATCAGTGGTGATTTCAAATGTGCAGACATGAATGTGGCTGCAGAGACCGGAGGGCTGATATCAAATTCATAGTCTTTGTCTGCAAACAACAGGACGGTGTTTTATAAAAATATAACAGAATGAAGGAGAATCACAGGGTTTTAAATTTGAGCAGTTTTACTGTGTTGAATTGAAGACATGGAAATGAAAGCAACACGTGAATATACACATCTTTTACACTTCACATTTACCAGTCAAATCAGTATGTGACACGGGACAACAACAGGTAGTGTTTTCCAGCTTCGGTGAAATCGATGCAAATGCATCTGTGGTACAGCTGCAACTGTGACATTGACATTAACAGGGGTCTGTGTGTGTGTGTGTGTGTGTGTCTGTGTGGAACTCATAGTGGGAGACTTCAGAATTAACTTCTTCCTTCTTCACAAGTTTGATGAAGAAAACTCTCTAAAAGGATTAAAACACATCTGAATCAGCTACTGCTCCTTGTATTGGACAAGATCCTTTATATGTTCACACTCAGACAAAATAAGGACACAAGCGTTGGTACAAATGTAAACAAATGTACAAATAGAGAAAAGAACAACTGACAAACAAAAAAAGACATCATTCTCAAAAGTATATATTTCTTTTAGTCACATCTAACATAGCTTGATAAGTATACAGCAGAATATTACAGTGATTTACATATATTACATATATAAATAACTTCCTATTACGTAATCATCTGGTACAGTGAGCAGCAGGAACAGATCTGTTCTTGAAGGATTGATAGACTGTGTGGACGTATAAAAAAAAAAAAAAAAAAGAGCAATAACAGTGAAAGATCATGTATTTGAAACCAAAGAGCAGTGGATGAAAGCACAGCAGTACTGTGGAAGAACGAGTGGCACCGTAAAATGCAGAAATGTTGCTGAATACTATATTTTGTTTCTCAAATGGTAGCTGCCACTCATCACCAGTGAGAGTGATTATAGTCTGAAGCCCACACAGTTGGATACTGTGGCTCATATACTGTTACATACACTTGGTAATGTACATAGAGGTGTCTCATTTACTTTCCAAGGCGATTTGGGAGAATTATATGTTGTGAGATTCAACTTCTGTTCAACTACACCTTCCCGCGCGCGCACACACACACACACACACACACACACACACACACACACACACACAC